TAAAAACAAAAGAAGGAAGGTATGTAGAAGAGGATAAAGGTCTAGCTGACTGCCTCAATGAATATTTTTGTTCTGTATTTACAGATGAAAATGAAGGAAAGGGACCTCAGTTGAGAAAAAGGATAAATGAGTCATTTATTACACGTGAGTTTACAGAGGAAGAGGTTCTATTTCAACTGTCAAAAGTAAAGACAAATAAGTCAATGGGACCTGATGGAATACACCCAAAGCTATTAAAAGAGCTTAGTGGTGTACTAGCAAAACCATTAACAGATTTATTTAACCAATCATTGTTAACAGGAGTAGTCCCAGAAGATTGGAAGTTAGCGAATGTTGTGCCCATTTACAAGAAAGGTAATAGGGAGGAGTCGGGCAACTATAGGCCAGTAAGCCTTACTTCAGTAGTGGGGAAAGTGATGGAAACCATGTTAAAGGATAGGATTGATGAACATCTAAAAACACATGGATTTCAAGATCAGAGACAACATGGGTTTACTTCAGGGAGATCATGCCAAACTAATCTTATTGATTTTTTTGATTGGGTAACTAAAATTATAGATCAGGGTGGTGCAGTAGACATTGCTTACCTAGATTTCAGTAAGGCTTTTGACACTGTTGCACATAGAAGGCTTATCAATAAACTGCAATCTTTAAGTTTGGATTCCAATATTGTTGAATGGGTAAGGCAGTGGCTGAGTGACAGGCAACAGAGGGTTGTAGTTAATGGAATATATTCGAAGCTTGGACTTGTCACCAGTGGGGTACCTCAGGGATCTGTACTTGGACCCATTCTCTTTAATATTTTTATTAGTGATATTGCAGAAGGTCTTGATGGTAAGGTATGTCTTTTTGCTGATGATACTAAGATATGTAACAGGGTTGATGTTCCAGGAGGGATAAGCCAAATGGCAAATGATTTAGGTAAACTAGAAAAATGGTCAGAATTGTGGCAACTGACATTTAATGTGGATAAGTGCAAGATAATGCATCTTGGACGTAAAAACCCAAGGGCAGAGTACAGAATATTTGATAGTCCTAACCTCAACATATGAGGAAAGGGATTTAGGGGTGATTATTTCTGATGACTTAAAGGTAGGCAGACAATGTAATAGAGCAGCAGGAAATGCTAGCAGAATGCTTGGTTGTATAGGGAGAGGTATTAGCAGTAGAAAGAGGGAAGTGCTCATGTCATTATACAGAACACTGGTGAGACCTCACTTGGAGTATTGTACACAGTACTGGAGACCGTATCTTCAGAAGGATATTGATACCTTAGAGAGGGTTCAGAGAAGGGCTACTAAACTGGTTCATGGATTGCGGGATAAAACTTACCAGGAAAGGTTAAAGGATCTTAACATGTATAGCTTGGAGGAAAGACGAGACAGGGGGGATATGATAGAAACATTTAAATATATAAAGGGAATCAACACAGTAAAGGAGGAGACTATATTTAAAAGAAGAAAAACTACCACAACAAGAGGACATAGTCTTAAATTAGAGGGACAAAGGTTTAAAAATAATATCAGGAAGTATTACTTTACTGAGAGGGTAGTGGATGCATGGAATAGCCTTCCAGCTGAAGTGGTAGAGGTTAACACAGTAAAGGAGTTTAAGCATGCGTGGGATAGGCATAAGGCTATCCTAACTATAAGATAAGGCTAGGGACTAATGAAAGTATTTAGAAAATTGGGCAGACTAGATGGGCCGAATGGTTCTTATCTGCCGTCACATTCTATGTTTCTATGTATAAACACCGTAGTAAATGGAGTAAAAATGGAAATACACTCACAAAGCAAGATTTTCCAATCAGCTCTTAGAAAAGGCTTGGAACAGTATAATCCCTCCGCAAAGATATATCTGGAAGTGCTTCTTTTGGATTTCCCACAATGTCTTGGGCATATAGAGCGAAATAAAGAAAATACAGTGCTCTCTGTTTTTAGTAATCACTTTGCACAATTAAGAGGGAATGTACTTACATTTTCAAGAGCAATTCTTGCTCAATGACATCAGCATGTGTGGTATAATCCCCACCAAGTATGTATGGAAGTAGATGGGAAAAGTGCAGCAGTCCCAGTAGGGTTTTCTGAATTGAAGAGATATCAAATTGCAGGACAAAATGGAAAACAAAACTCAGTTTGATGGTAAAAACAATTTTATTGTAAATTACCAAACAAATGAATAAAAGTAGATCTAAAACTATTGTATAAAATCACAACATGTTTCACCAATAGGCTTTCTCAAGTGATGATAAAATTAAAGTCCTGCAGATAGCTATACTTATAGGGTATTTGAAAATGCCCTATAAATAGAGCTATCTGCAGAACTTTAATTTTGTGTTTAACCCCTTAAGGAGCAAACTTCTGGAATAAAAAGGAATCATGACATGTCACACATGTCATGTGTCCTTAAGGGGTTAAATATATTCCATGTGAGACGTCCACAACAGAGCTGGCACCGGCTGTACCACCAGTCCTGAAAAAGAACCTAACTACCTATCCAC